CCCCAAAACCCCAAAACCCCAAAACCCCGTAGAGTTCATTATAAATCATTCGTAAAATATGGAAAATTAAAGGAAATAAAAATTTTTTAAGGAATAATGTTTATACTTAGATTGAGGTAAAATATTGAGCTTAAATATTTGGATTTAATTTTATATATACATATAATCATGAAAACATAAACAAAGTTGAAGATCATTCTTGTAGGGACTGTTCTCAGCACTCTACACAAAGTAGGCTAAGTCTAAGCGACTCCAGGAGTTTAGGCTCTTGGCTCTAAATATAATGATTGCGAGGATATGATAAATTTGGTTGATTGCACTGATTGTTACTCAATGAGCAGGGCAAACAATGGAGGGATTTAAAGATTCCCATTCAGTGATGAATAATTGGTTGATACGGCTGTAGACTTTGAATTGGTTACTTGTGCTTTCGTAGGTGAGTGCCCTGATGGTGTACTCAGAAACTCATGCAACTGGAGAAGATATTTTGGTTATTCATGCTTCACCTAAACCTCATTGCAGAATACACCTCTAGCATCACTTGAAACGAATGCAATCATGCAATTAATTCTGGCTGGTGGACTCACAGGATACACAGTTGGAACGAATTCCCTTCCAAATCATTGCTATTACTCAGATCATAATGCCCCAAAAGGTAGTGAGGCAACCTTTAATTTCTACAGCATGACTGGTGTTTTCAACCCTAATGTACTTTGGAATGATGTTTACCTAACAAATAGCTTTGGAGGTGAAGCCGAAATTGACTATATTTATATGAATGTTAATGACTAAACAGATATTGACAACCTCCTTTGCGATCATACTTGGGCTAAATCAACAACACTTCCTTCTGCTAGTCTTTACACTTAGTCCTATTCGCAATATACATACCCTGCAGGTGTAAGAACTATAGTTCTAGATGATTGGGAGCCTAATGCTAATAGCTTCCCACTCTTAAGAATGCCAGATTCAAACGCTATTGTAGGAGTTGCTCTAAATGGAGTATTTTTCTTTGCAGGATCCTCTCATTATGGTTATGATGCATTCTTCCCAAAGGCTTACGGAGCTAGAGTTAAGCCTCAAAAAGTTGATGTTGATGTTTGCCTCGGAAATGTTGACACCTATAGTACTTACAGATATCATATGTTCTCTCCCTGCATCTACGATATTGCTTTGAGAACTCAAGCAATGGATTGCAAGAATCATGAAATTTGCAGTGTAGATGTTAGAAATCATTCTTAGGCCTACATTCCACAACAGCTTAGAACCTTGGATCCTGTAGGAATTGCAAAAGACGGTAGAATCATATATGGACCCTACAGAAAAGATGGAAATTTATGGCAACCTTGCGACGTTGATATGTGCAATGGGCATAAGTTTTCTAGATTAAACTACGGTTATGTTGCTACAATGTTCCACCCCTATATTGTTGGATGCTGGGGCCCAGGAGCTAGACCAGTAAAGATGTATGCGTCTTGTTCTACCAATGGAAGATACTGTACTAGCGGATCTTACTTATTCAGCTCTCTCATTGTTGTTATTGTAGCTGTTCTATTCAGCTTCTTTAACTGACAAGGAAATTTAAATTCCTATATTAAACTTAAAAACGATTTCATCACATTGCTTAAAAGATTTAATGTGCAACAATTGCATAATTAACTTTTTTATACTCACGGGGTTTTGGGGTTTTGGGGTTTTGGGGTTTTGGGG